TTGGTATTATAGAAATAGTTATAAACCAGTGTTTTTAGTTTATAATTTAAAATTTTAAACACACACAAAAAAGTTCTATGCTGGTTAAAATGTCTAAACACTGCAATATTTGTGATTATCAGAGTTTCTAATTCAATCCTAATAGGTACGTTAAGAAAGAATAACATGAGGTTTGTAAACTAATTGTTTTCTTTGTACTGATGTTTAAATGCTATCTTGAGGTATTTATGTCTGGTAAATCTGGATATCTCAGCTTTTTACTAAGCCTTTTGTTGATGATCTGATGGATCTGCATTTTGTAAGAGAAAGAACACAAAGGCGAAGGGAGGAGGGAACTGTCCAACTAACTTTTAGGGAAAAAAAAAAAAAGAGAAAACTGAGTCTCTAACTTTCTGTTACAAATTCTTCCGAGACTGTATCTACAAAGAGGTCCAAAAATTTGTTGTAGTTGAAGTATGTTCATTTTTAAAACGGTGTGTAAGAGTGCACTGAGCTGTGCTTAAATTTAGAGTTTTCTAGTCTAAGGTATAAAATTTTGGTCTTGAGAACACTTATATACTATTTCTTCTGATGCAGAGTAAGACAGTGGATCTCAGCTGATATATCTTCAACATTTCTCTCCTCCCTAAATGCCATTCTACCACCTCCACCAGCATTTTCCCCCCACTGGTTCTAACTTATATTGCAAATCAGCACAGTTCGAATCATAAACTAAAGAGGAAGATGAAATAACAATTGTTTGTCTAGCAAAAATTTAAAAATAAACCCTGAGTGATGTTAAACTGAGAATCAAGTAGGAGCAGATTCAAATGTTGTTCAAGCCTATCTGTTTTTCAGATTAAGTGAAAACTGTGGGCTGTCTGCTGTGTGATTTCAGAGAGAAACTCACTTGGCATTGAGTTGAGAAATGAAGAATGCATCTCTTTCATAATTCAACAGGTGCTCACTTTCATTCTCTACCATAAAATATGAAGATTTAAGATCCACTTGAAGGTGATAGGACAGAGAGAGAGAGAGAGAAGTTGTGTTGGGTTTAAGTGCCCAGGTGTTAGCAGTGAGGTGGGAGGGCTGCAGGGGTGGTTGGTCTCTGTGAGGAGTGGCTGGTGCTGCTCAATTCTGGACACAGAAGATCCCAGCTGGCTCCAACAGACCCACTGCAAGGCACAGCTGGGACCCTCAGAGAAGCTGGTGTGTCTGTATGAAAGCATCTTTAAGGAAGAGCAAAGCCCTACCTATCAGTGTGAGGAATGAAGGAAAAATAATGTGTGAGAAAGAACCCTGTAGGTACCAAAACCAGATGAACCAGGTGAGGAAGGGCTCCTGGGGCAGGGACCCACACTGCAGCCTGCAGAATACCCTCTGCCACATCTGTTGGATATTCCCTAAGGAGTTGCTGTCCGTGGAAAGCTCCTCCTGGGGCAGGGGAAAAGTGTCAGAAGAAAGGAGTGGTAGAGGTGAAGTGTTACAAACTGAGCACTCCCTCCATTTCCCATTCCCTTGTGCTGCTTGGAGGAGGGGAAGTTGAGAAACTAGGAATGCAGGAGTAAAGTTCAGCCTTGGAATAAATAGGGAAGTATTATAGGTTTTAGGTCTGTTCCTCAACATCTGACTTAATTTTAGTTTACAATAAATTATTTCTTCCCAAGTTCAGTTTGTTTTCCCAGTCCCAGCAATCAGTAAATGATCTCCATGTCTTCAACTTGACCCATTATTGTCATATTTCTTACCCCTGTCCAGCTGAGGAGGCAGAGTGAGAGAGCAGCTAGGTAGGAGTCCAGGAGCCAGTCAATGTAAACCCAACACAAAAAGGTATCTAAGAGTTAAACTCCTGTTATCTGTGTGTTTCATGTACACGACAATTCTCCTGCAGTAGATCATAAAACATATAGATATCTCTTAATATATGGGGTATGGGTGTAATACAGATACATAATATTGGTTTGCAAAGAATATTTCATTCTAACTCTTTCATACTATTATTTTAAACAGAAAAATGTCACCCAAATTATTATTAACATTTATGTGCTTGGTGTTACTCACCAGAAAACAGCACCTGCCTTTCAATGCTATTGATATGTAGTGGCAGCTTTCAACAATATACCTTCTTGTATAAACTACATGAAAAAAGGAAGAAATGTCTACTCTCACAACACATTGTAGTTGGTTTGAATATTTGTTGATTTGTTGATTTATTTTATTAAATGCTACTGGAGATAAACAAAATTAGATATTTTCAGAGAGAATGAGGGGGAATTTTGTTTTTTTACACAGCTACCCAGAATAACTCTGGATGAAATCTCTACAATACCGCTTTTCTGCATTATGGAAAGGAAATGATACCAGAAAATATAACCTCCAGAGCATGTCGCAAAGACTTACAATTTCCCTCAAAACTCATATTATGAAGTAAATTAACATTTACTTCACTCTGGAGCACTACTTCCTCAAAAGTAATGCATTCACAACTATCTTCTATTAACGAGAAAAAGGCATAGTGACCTTTAAAAAGTAGAGTGATAAATTTCACAACTTTGGAAATTAAGCTCAGATGAGTAAAGTACAATAAACTTCAGTGAACTTTAACTACAGCTATCACCGGGATTTTTAACTCAGAATAAACTTTCATCTAATGTTTGCTTCCATTATTCATTTTACTGGTTCCTGGCAACCTGACTAGGAAGTGTTAAGCTTGATTCTAGACAAAATTTTCAGTAAATGCAGCTGTATTTGCTGCACTCATCAGCATACGTGCTCAAATTCTCCAAAAAAATATGTCCAAGGACATTCCACCATGTATTTTCAGCTACACTTCACTGCTCAACTCTACCAATTGAGATAAATTGATTGCAGGTATAAAAACATACAGAGATTTTTACTTAGGACTTCTAGCTCCCTTTTAAAATTTATAACTACTTCTGCCCTATCTTTTCTTCACAGACCAGTCCAGTGGCTTGCAAATAGGGCAAGACATAATTTAAAATGTGTCCACTGGTAACGAAAACTTATGTTCTTCCTCCTTCTAGATTATTCCACATAAGACTGACCCTCAGAAGATTTCTATCTATTTGCAATAAAGATTGAAGACTTTGCAACTTACTTATTTTACAGTTCTTCCCATATTCAGATTTTGATATGGTCTAAGGAAACAAAGTGTGGGTAAACTCACCCCAAGTGGTTCATATATTTGAAAATATACAAGGGTCCAAAAATTTTTAGAAGAGCTCCTGGTTCTTTTAACACCTTAAGAGAGAGCACGTAGGAGAAAAACTGCACACATTTTCTCAGGGGGTACTTTTAATGGTAAACTGGAAATAAGAGAACATGGCAAAAGTTTAAAGGATAGCATTCAACCAAAATAAAGCATTCCACAAAGCATTGACTTAGCTGAAAAAACATAGGTTTGAGTTTTTGGGGGTTTTCTGAAGCAGTTTGTTCTTCCTTAAAAGAGTTCATATCAGTATTGTTATTTCAGATCCTACTTTTGTCAAAGAAACTCTTGTGCTCTCTTCTGCAGGTGTTCAAGTGACATTTATCAGTGTAGAAACCCGCCCAAAGTTTCTTTTAGACTAGCTCAAATTTAAAAAATATTCTCTGCATGTATTTAGAAGTGACTTGTATTGACATCAGGAAGTCAGCTTCAGTCTTTATTAAAACTAGTACAAAAATTCTGCCATATAAATTTAAGAAAAATTTTTATCAGCAAAGATGTGATATATTTGTAAAGATCTATATTTTCACTTCTTTTTGATTTGCAAAAATGTCTTATTGGTTTTTTGTTTAGTTGATTTGGTTTCACTTCAGGCTTCATGTTCAGGCTCAGTGTTGCTTTCACTTCAGGCTTAATGTGTTTCAATGAAAAAGAATTTTACAAAAAACAAGATAAGATTTATCATTATTCACTCTTTGGAAAATGTCAAAATATAGGAGGCTTTTGGCTTTTATCAAGACTCATATTTCTCAGTGAAGACAAATGTTCTTATCTTTCTTTGAACTATATACAGACAATAATATAGAGTAATAAAATATTCTTTTCAGTTTGGGAATAATATCAGATTACGCCCTTAATCTCTGACTTGTAAAGTTAAATAGACTAGTGGTTTATTTTCTACCCTCACCACTATAATTAATCAACGTGACTAATTTAACCCAGCAGCTCAGCTTCTTTAAGAAGGCAGATTACAGAACATGAACAGTTTAAACATTGGCTTTGAGAATTATAAAACAAGAATGAAACCACAATATACCAGAATCTAACAATTATGTAATAAACACATTACATTACAAGATTAGTGTCCTCATTACAGGGGCCAGAACCAGTTCATCACTGTGTGGTTATAACCAAGACTGTGTATTCTATATCCTCTGTCTGGAGGTTTCCCAGTCCTCTCATTTGTCCAGGTCTCTCTGCAGAGCCCCCCTGCCTTTGAGGGACTCAACAGCTCCTCCCAGTTCTGTGTCATCTGCAAACTTGCTCAATGTCCCTTCGAGTCCTGCACCCAAGCCATTGATGGAGATGTTGGAGAGCACAGGGATGAGGATGGAGCCCTGTGGAACCCCAGCAGTGACAGGTCACAGTCTGATGTCACCCCAGCCACTGTCACCTCTCTGTGCCCGACCCCTGAGTCAACTGCTCACCCAGCACATAGTGTGTTTATCCAGCTGTGGGCTGGAGAGTTTGTCCAGAAGGATCCTGCGAGATACAATATTGAAATGTTTACTGAAATCCAAAATGTTACATCAACTGACTTCCCTTCATCAGCTGTGTGGGTCACCTTGTCATAGAAGGAAATCAGTTTTGATAAGCAGGACTTTCCTCTCATGAATCCCTGCTGGCTGTGACCAGTGACTGTGTTGTCTTTCAGGTGTTTTTCAATACTTTCCAGAATAATTTCCATAACTTTCCGAGGCACTGAAGTGAGACTGACAGGCCTGTAGTTTCCAGGCTCCTCCTTCTTGCCTTTCTTGAAAACTGGAACAATGTTCACCACCTTCCAGTCAACTGGGGCCTCTCCAGATTTCCAGCCTCCAGCTTCTGAGCACCAGGGCAGGGCTGCCCAAGCCCTTTGACCAGCTGCAAGGCTGCAGGTCCAGATGACCTGGTGCATCATCCATCAGACACAGGCCATGCTCACAGCCCCAGCCCTGCTGAGTGCCTCCTTCTACGGGTAACTCATCCTCTGTGGTATGAATCACATGTGCAAGGAGTCTCAGCAAGTGGTCAGTAGGATAAATTTCAATAGCTGCCATGCTTCACAATTACAGAAAAATCAAGAATTACCCAAATCGGTTTTTCCCATAAGGGGAACTAAGATTATATTTTCCAAATCCACTGCTATTGGACAAAATCTATTGTTATGGGGGACACTAACCAATGGATAGAACTTACATATAACATTTCCTGGAAACATTGCATAAGTCCAGTTAGTGGATAGAAATAAAAATTATTAAAAATAATTTTTATGATGGGCTGACCTGCATTTTAAACTTCAAACATTTTCTAGCACTTTTATCAAAGCAAATAGTAATAGAAACTTTGTGAAATGTAAAGATAATACAGTTGTGTGCATTTAAACAATCAGAATCAACTGCCATATAATTTACTCTCAGTGTAACGTTCTATCATGTAGAAAGAAAATAAATTGGTTTCTTCTAATGAGTATGACCTTGTAGAGTCAAAAACTATATTGCTTGTTTGGGATGCTGTTGTTAATATCAGAGAATAGCTGACTTCTCATTTTAAATACTAAATGTAGAAAACAGATCCCCATAAAGCAAGATTCGTACTAATCTGATTTAAAAATCTCTCAAGAGCTCAGTATATCTTTCAGTATTGCACATTACAGTTAGTGCAGCATTGCATTAATATTTAAAAATAACCCAAAAAAATTCAGACCACCTACTTAACTGAATATAAAGTAGTTCTCAAGAGCAGATATAGCCAATATATGTTAGTAAAAAGATTTATTTATACCCCAAGAAGATGTCAGTAAAAATATTCTTACAAAGAACATTAAAAGTGTTGAAAAATACCTACATACTAACTGATATACTCAGGTACCATGAGGACATGAAGTCACTGGTTTACTGTATAGTTACCAAAAGAAAAGCTACAGAATCAATGTTGCTAAATAATTATGGTTGTTTCTGATGGACATATTGCACTGTTACTGATAAATAATGCATCTTTTATATCATGGTGATAGAGCAATTAATTTATGTCACAAGTATCCTTATATTACTTGCTATTACACTCTAGAATAGCAAGTTTCTTTCTATTAACCACTGAATATTCAGAAGAGTTTCTTGAACATCTCTAATTAAAATGTTTGAAGTACCTACTAAAACCCTTAATGGGAATTTCTACTGTGACAAGAACAACCAAGTTTTTCTTTCTGTGATCATACAGATTTTCTTCATGAACACTTTTCTTCAGGAAGTGTGGAATTGTTCTAATTGCTGGGGGAGGGGGGGGAAGGGTTAATAGAATCTCAAGAGTAATTGTGTGTTGGAAACAAAACAATATCACTGCTTTTTTATTCTTTCACACCAGATTGCTGGCAAGCAAAATTCAATTTGAATGGAACCACGTAGTTGGTAATATGCTGGTTATGGAATTTTTTCTTAATAAGGATTTTGACAATGAAATCATGTAGCAGACCAAATGGATGGAACTGTGGAATTCCCTAACCTTAACAACTTAGATTTTAACATACTCTGTTAAAAATCAAGATATTTAAGAAACAGAAGCAGAGGTAAGATTCCCAATTGGGATATTATACCTCAGAGAGGATTAGGGGCATTGCAGTCACTGAACTCTTACAAGTGTATAAGTTCGAAATACTGTTTTGACTCACAAGACACATCTCGTGAGTAAATAGCAATTCTTTGGAGGCTTTGAGTTTCAGCTGCAGATCAATACTCCATATTTTAAACTCATCACTTAAGTAATTGAAATGTTGGCTCAACTTCAGTAAGTACCAACATTGCCTCCTGTTATTCCTGTTTATTCATTTATTAATACTAGTACTGTATAAGCAAGGCAAGTGTATTCCAAGCCTCATACCTATACTTCACTAAAAGTTGATCTCTATTTTAGTAATTTCTTCTTCAAGGTTAGAAAGATATGCATCTTTCTAGGAGGAAATCTGAGATTTCATGGATTCTGTGCACAGAAAATAGAAATAACAAAGGTCAATGATGCTGTTTTCATTTTGGCTTTGCATACTGGCACATAAGCTATCTAAAATTCAGTAAGTAATAAAAGAGAAAGGCAACTGATTTCTTTTCACATTTAGTTTATTACCTCTCTGTCCTTGCCATCTGTTAATAAAGTGAAATTTGAGAACAGAACCAAGAATGGAGAAAAGAGTAGCTAAGATGAGGTCTGAGTCACCCTTGTCTCAATTAAAATTTCTGTGTGTTGTAAACAATCATTTCCTTTCAATTTAAGTCTGGTTTGTGGTAGGTTACTCTTGTCTCATATCAGTCAAACTCCTCGGGTATATACCTCAAGGAGTGAGATTGAATCACTGCTACACAGTTCAGACTTTTCCCATATTTGCAGACTGCATCTTCAAATTGCTCTTTCCAGGCAGTTGCTTGCAGAAGCATTTAAACAGGCTATGAACTTTCATGAGTACAGAATGGTAGATGAGTTAGCACAATACAGAAGAGACATCCTGTTCCACAAGCGGAGGCTGAGCAGCAGCTCTCACAGCAACTCTGCAGGAAGCTTTGCTAAACGTGCTCTGTTCTGTGCCACTGTGGTCTGGCTTTGTGGTGCTCTGATTCATCACCAGCTTACGTTCCCAACATACATACTCCAAAGGGCCACGGCAGACCTCGATGATCAGGACGGTATCTACATTCGATACCGTACTGATGGAAGCCTTTTCAACCTAAGGTGACTGAAAGCCCACACCAAGACCTTAAACCATCTTGTCCAGGAGCTGCTTTATGCTGATGACGTCGCCCTTGTCGCCCACACAGAAGCAGCTCTGCAGCGTTTAACATCCTGCTTTGCAGACACTGCTGAGCTCTTTGGGCTGGAAGTCAGCTTAAGGAAGACACAAGTTCTCCATCAACCTGCACCTCAGGAAGTCCCCCATCATCCCCACATCACCATTGGCCAATCAGAGCTCAAATCAGTCCAGCAGTTTAATTACCTGGGCAGCCTCATCTCCTCGGACTGTAAGATTAATGGAGAGACAGACAACAGGTTAGCAAAGGCATACAGTGCCTTCAGAAAGCTTCATAAAAGAGTTTGGTGAAATAAACACCTGAAGAAAAGTACCAAGATCAGTGTTTACAGAGCCACAGTGTTGTCTGCTCTCTCATATGGATCTGAATCCTGGGTCATCTACCGCCACCACCTGCGACTCCTCGAACGCTTCCATCAACGCTGCCTCCGTACAATCCTAAACATCCACTGCTCAGATTATGGGACCAATCCATCTGTTCTAGAACAAGCAGCAGTCGCAGGTATTGAGGCCATGTTGCTGAGAACACAGCTGTGCTGGGCAGGGCACGTCTCCAGGATGAAGGACCAACCACCCCCTCCCTAAGATCCTGCTCTATGGTGAACTTGCCACTGGCTGCCACAAGAGAGGAGCCCCAAAGAGGAGATACAAGGACTGCCTGAAACAACATCTCAGCCTTGGACATATTGATCATCAGAACTGGTCTACTCTGGCCTCCAGCTGGGAGGTCTGCAGACACACCATCTGTAACGCTGCTGATGCCTTTGAGAACGCAGCAGGATCACCCTGGAGGAGAAAAGACAATGCAGAAAGAATCGTGTCCTGCAGAATTTACCACCTCAGGAGTCTTTCTGCTGTGCCTTTTGCAACCAGACGTGTCTGTCTCATATTGGCCTTTTTAGCCCCCAGTGTGTTTGTAACAAACATGGGTAGAGCCCTTCCCAAATCTTCGTTCATGAAGCCTGACCATGATGATTTTCCCAACAACAGTTTCTGACATCTCTGTCATCCACCTGATGCCATTGGTATAGACCAGCAGCCTGGAAGTTCACAGCCAGTCTCCTGTGAGTTACTTAATTCTTCAGGCCTTTGTGATGGTGTATAACTGACTTGTTTTCTGATGAACATGCACTCTGTTGCTGCAGGTCCCGTTTTTTAAAATCATCAAATCCTTGAGTGATAAGAACTCTTCCATAATCCAGTTACTTCAAATTACACTTAGTCACAAATTAAGAAAAATGACATAAAACAAAGGTTTATCTCTAATATCTAAACAATACAGCATAGTTCAAAGCACTTTTATAAAATATTTAAACAAAGAAACAAAACAACTTGTACATCTTAACTGAAGTTACCACAGAGATGCCTCTTCCCTTCCTGAAAAAGTGTCAATCATGATTTCTGCCTGGGTATAAGCATCTTCACTTCAAGGAAGTTGAATTTAATCTCTACAGATCCTTCAGAGGGTTTGCACTCACGATCATTCATGACAAAAATTCTTTTTTTTCCCTTCCTTCCCCCTTACCTGGAGGATGTTTTTCCTCTTTTTGATTAAAATGTTTATCTGCCATGTTTACTTACACATTTATTGTATTAGGAGTCCTTGCCTGCATTTCATTGCCCCCCAAAAACCATCTTTTTTCCAAGAGGTGTAGAACTCCCTTTCCTCTCTTTCATAACTACTTAACATTCTTCAGTGTAATTTTTCTTTCACAGGATCTTATACTCAGTATCCTTTTGTAGATTACAATGTACAGTCCAAGAACCTAAATGGGAAAAATGTTTCCTCCTGTTATCTATTTCAGTAAATAAAAGAACAAACTAAAAACCAACCAACCAACAAACAAAACACTACAGTAACAAATGCTGTTACTCTGTTACTTTCCCTTCAGAAGCTGAACTCTGTGCTTCTCTTCCATTCATTATGAAGAAGACAACAAATTAAATTATTCATGAGGAAGTTAAAATGTTGTGAGATTTTGTGTCTCTCAAATAGAACATTTTCCTACTTTTAGCCTTAAAAATACATGGAAGTGAAATAGTTATTTATGGTTAAACTTAAAATTCAAAAGTCAACTCAAATTTTAAGGTCTTTTGCTACAAAGAATTAAAAAAAGCCCAATCAAACAAAAAACTCACTAATACTTCTGAAGTTACCCTGTAGATACTGCTCTAGTGGGGAAATACAGGCTGGCAATATAAAGTGGCACTTTAAAAACCAACCTAAAAAATGGATAGAAATATTAACTACCTATCATCTTCGCCTAAAAACTATCCACTTAAGCTGAATTTTCAAACCTTACCTGAAAGGTACACAAACATTCAGATTGACTTAAAACTGAATATTGTTCCTGTCTGAAACTTCTGTCCCTGACCTGTGCTGCTTTAATACTTGGTCAGATGTTCCTGCTTCTACGAATGGAATAAGTGCAACATCCTTGTAAACAGAAGCCAACTCTTGTGAAGTGCCTCTGCCTACACTGTGTCTTTCTTTCGTTTTATTGTTTTGGTTTTTTTCTTTTTTACGAAACAAGGAGTTTTGATTAATCTAAAATAGGAATAAAATAACCACTCAGACCATGTTCAGCTTCTGAGAGTAATAACTGCTTGTGTGACTGATGAAGTAGAATTTCAGGACCATCATCTCTGGACCACTCATCTGTCCCTCAATACTGTCAAGCTAGTCCTCAGCATTAAGGTGTTAATTCTACAGTCTCTCTGTTGAACTATCTCATACTGCAAATTTGTTGGACTGCAATAGAGAATTGGAGTTAATTGTCCAAAAGAAGACAGATATTGAACATCCAACGATGATTCAAAACCAAATGGAAATCTAATGCTTTATTTCCTGTGTTCTTACCTTGAAAATTCATTTTATCTGTAGATACACGTGTACCATTTAATCGTCACCTCAGCTTCAATATATACATGTACTCATAGCTTCTCTGTAGGTTATAGTACTTTAGTTTTTATGTCCTCAATAGTTTTCCCCAGATTAAATATGCTTGGTACAATTCTATCAGTTTAGGATTATAAAAGTTGAAGAAAGCCTGACTATTCCTGGAAAGAGCCCAAGAAACAATCAGAGCTTGACCCATGTAACCATTTGTTGCTAAAGTCTTTCAACACTTTCTCTTGGCCATGTTGTATAGATTTCAACAGCCTTAGAAGAGGACACGGGGCTTGTTTCTCCTTTCATTTACAACAGCATAACTTTCAAAACAGTGGAAGTTGTTCCAATTCTATGTGCATTGTTCTAAGTAAAAGGCAAACTCAGGCTCTAGCTGTGCACAGAGCAAATCTACATTCAGCATGTCCACCTGGTTTAGAGTTACGTGATCTGAGGAACAGTCTTGTCCTAGCAAATATTCTAACAGGATATGAGCCCCCAAAATTATTTTTTTCAGTTTCTTTCTCTTGGTTCACTACATTTTGATGTACACAGTCAAATTCATTTTTCCTTGTTTTAAGGGTTCAAAATGGGATTAAAAATGAAGAAGAGATCGCACTGAAAGAAGATTTTCATTATAGTTTAAGAGAAGACAGCTATGATGATTTATGGATGAGGAATAAGGAGATATGTGACAAATTCCAGTAGCTCAGCCCCCTAGAATCAGGATCAGAGTAGCCTACTGTCAACAAATATTTTACATCATAGAAGTATTTAATTAAAAACCCGCAAATTTACAAGATGAGCTACACTTCGTAACATGCTTTGAATGTTTTATACAATATGCTTTGAATCTCATATTAACAGGTTCTCATTTAATGCAGACAATTTTTTTAATTGGCATTTCCATATCAGGCATCTTATTGCTGTTACTTCTGCCTGCTTCGGTTTTGCCTTGGCTCAGATGAACCTCACTTGCATCAAACCATTGAAGTTTGTACCCTGGGTTTATTCTAGAGAAGGTGGAAGAGGGTAGAAAGAGAAACACAGTCTAAGTCTTTACTTTCCCCAGTAAAAAATTGTATGATAGTTCAACCCACTGATAAGCAGTACAGGCTACTTAAATTCAGCACACATTTTAGTGCATCCTGTTTCATTAAATGTGTGTCATTTCATTCGTGTCATCCAAAAAAACAGTTGCCTTTTAAAAAAAATTTAAAAGGACAAAGAACTCCAATAGCAGTAAAAATCTATATGTTACCCAGTGGACATTTTCTGGTGTTTGCTAGAGGAGAAATGTTTAAAATTGGAATGGAGAGCAGCTATGCACAAATGGCTCTGCAATTCCTGTCATCGAATGAAAAAAAGTAAATGAATAAAAGATAGAAGATGAACATTTCATTAGACTAACAGTTAGACCAGAAAACACTTTTTCAACTTCTCGAAGCTTTCAGAGTGAAAGAGCTCAAAAACTGTGTTTGTACCTTGTTTGTTCTAAAGATACTCCAGTGTCATTTTGGGATTAACGCTACTACAGGCAACTGATAGGAGAAAAGTATTTTATTACAACTCATTCATCACTAATAGCCATTTGAGAATATTTTTCAAACTGTACTCGGGACCCATCTAAAACTAATATCAGATGCAACTGAAAGCCACATCCTACCATAGTTCCTCAGTGAGATGGTTCAGCAAAAGCTGTGCAGACTATAATTAGGGAGACTGTCAAGCAGCTGGAGAAAAAGTCCTCAGTTTACATAGAATTTTTCAGATTTTCCTTAGTCAGAAGTTTCTCCCCATCGGCTAAGCCCACGTTAGTAAATTAAACAATGTCAAGATGTGGACCTGGGTAGTGATGCTCGACTCCTTACCCATCCTGATTGTCACTATGTGCAGTTTTAGCCAGTTACAGCTCAGTGCACAGAAAGGTCTGAGTATTAATCCAGATCAGGGAACATTCTCCATAAGCAGTAAGTATAATGTCATGCCTACTTGGTACGTCCTTCAGGTTGACTGAATGCCT